TATTCACGTAGCTGAAGTTGCGTACCTTAGTTCGAATTAGGGGGGGTAGTGTAGACCAAGCCTAAGTGACGCTAAGACTCATTCCTAACCACGCTGTCAATGTGAAAGGGGCCTCAGTATCAGTCAGAATCTGCCTCGGAAGAAGAATTTACCCATAAATGGAGATTTTCAATGCTACCTAAAGGATTATGATGCCCAGTTCCCATTCATTTTAATGTGATGGATGTCGAAATCCCTGCAGTTCTCAAACTATGGGGTGAGCAAGGGAATGCAAGGGAGGCAAGGAAATGTGTCCAAAAAACTCTGTCAGCCCCAGGTGGCTGGGGCTCAGGCAGAAGGGCCGCGCACACCTAGGTGGCAGAGATAAAGGGGACAGCTGGAGCCCTGCCATCTGCATTTGTCCCCCACACACCAATTCCTCACCAAGAGGCAGCCAGGGCTCTCCATCCAGGAAGTGGTGGAGTTTTGGCTATCAGCCCCCAGGTTGGCAGCAGCCGCAGCGCAGAAGTAAGGCTGGCAATGGGGCGCTAAGTCTGCTGTGAAAAGTGAAATTGACTTTTCACATTGCATCCCCTACTTCTGTGCTGCTGCTGGCACGGCGCTGCCTTCAGAGCTGGGCACCCAGCCAGCAGCCACAGCCTCTGCTCTGCCTTCAAAGCTGGGTGGCCGTATATGTGCTTATGGAGGAGGAGGAGCCACAAAAGACTACAAACACAAAGAAGGGGGGGCCTGATCAAATACGATTGAGAACCGCTCCCTTTGAATGTTTCAACCACAATCCAAATACAAGAAGGGAGCTGGGAAGCAATGCAAAGCCCCACATGTGATTGAATGGGGATGTTTAGCACATGCCTCCTTCGTTCCACAATTTCCTGGTTTGTTTTCTAGTAAATATTTTCAAACATCTGCATAGTCAAAAATTCTTTGAGGCAAGGCTTAATACCTGTCGGAGGAAGTGTGTTTTAAAGGGAGGTGTTAAGAAATTGTGGCATGAGAGACAAGGAGAGAGATGGTTTTATCTATGTCCCATAGGGGAATGGAGATCTGAGGCCTGATTCTTGTTTACTTCCAGGACCTGTACAATGCCAGAGCCATGTGTGTAAAAGACTCTGGCCCTGGAGAGTTTATACATTCAGCATACCTTGAATTGTACCTGTCTTTAACCTCAATGTTTCAAACCCCATTGGTGCTTACGCTGGTGTCAATGGAAACTTTGCCAATGACTTCAGTAGGAGCAAGTCCTTAGCTAACATATGTTTACTTTCCTGAGAAGTATGTTTACTTTCCTGAATGATTTATTGGCGTTAGTAGCATGTAAGATATGAGTGTTTCAATAGAAGTGGAAGGACTTTGGAACAAGGTTCTAAAGGTTATGTTATTTGTTTTGATGAAGGTCGTTTGCAGCTGGCTTCAAGAGAGGGGTGGCTCCAGGCACCTGTGCACCAAGCCTGCTGGTTGCCGTGAGGGCGGCAGTCAGGCTGCCTTCGGCGACATGCTTACGGGAGGTCTGCCGGTCCCGCAGCTTCGGCGGCAATTCGGTGGCGGGTATGCCAAAGGCGTGGGACCGGTGGACCTCCCGCAGGCATGCCACCGAAGGCTGCCTCACTGCCGTGCTTGGGGCGGCAAAATACATAGAGCCGCCCCTGCTTCAGGAGCTGTAGATTTCTATTTTGAATACACATAGTTTAAATGCAAATATTGCCATAGAGATGCCAGCAATTTCTTTCTGGATTATCCTTCTTGTGAATATATTTTACAGGCCACATTCTCTGTATGCTCCAGCTGCGTTGCACTGTTCCAGTGATGCAAAGCAGCTGCACACCCAGTTTAACTGGCAGACTTAACGGGCTGTAGAGCACCTTCATGTCACCAGATCAATACAAATCAGCCCTAGTATATATGTATCTTGTTTTGTCTGGTTTTTATCTAATCTGTCTAGATTTTTATACTGCATCAAGGTATCTTGACTGCCTTACAACAGTACATCAATCTAATGAATGATCTACCAAATAAAATTGTCAATAACCATTTTGATAACGGTTTCAGTATAATTTGATTAAGAAGTTCATTTAAAACGTTGTGAAAACTTTCACAAACATCAAGAATTTTTTCAATTTTTTTTTGTTTTGCTTTTGAAAAACAGGCCATTTTTCAACAACAAGCTTATTTGAAATTTTTCAATGAGATGTCTCTACTCTCTAATTAAAGTCACAGAGCCAGAATGTGGAACAGTGCGAGTTCATGTCAGCTGAGGATCTAGCCCATTGTCTTTGAATCATAATTACCATGAAGGGAAGACAACCACGGAGACAAATGTTTACAGTTTTATTATTGGCATCTTTACATTAATACTGCTGTTTTGTGCTGAGAAAACAATCTGTTACACATAATGTAACTGTTCTATATAACATAGAAATGCAGTCTAAGTTAATTACAACAAGAAGCTACAAAAAATTTCATAGGAAAGAAAGTCACCTAACACTGCAACTGTGCTTGCAGCAAATCACTCTCCCACTTCTGAGTCAACACTGCAGAAATATGTGCGCTGTAAACCACGGTTATTTACATGTCCCTTAGAACTGTTAATAACAGAGGCGCTAAAATCAGTCTAAAAAGTTCTAGAACGTCACTATATACTGTACAGTCCTCAAAAATAATTTATTATACGGTTTCTAAAAAAGGTACTAGTTTTGTTGTTTGTTTTTTTTTCTGGAGTGCACAACATGTGCAAATTTTGTCTAACAGTCTAAAAGCTCGAGAACTGAACTGCGAGTCACAATCACAGAGATGAGGTGGTAGAATCTAGGACTTCCCGTCCATTGCAGACTGTCGGAACGTACGTACTAGCAGATGCTGGAAGAGAAAGGAGAAAAAAAAACAACCACCACCATCATTAGCCACCTAGGAAAAAACATTGGGGGCCTGATTCTAATTTACATACCGGTCACTTTACACCTCTCAGGAAGTGCAAAGGAGCCTTAAAGTGGTTATGACTCTAATTTATTCAGAGTGGCGTAAAGTAGCCTCCGTGTAAAGAAAAATCACATCCTTAGATTTTTCACGTATCTTATATTAGGGCCTGATTCTGTGAGGTGCTGAATGCTGTCCAGCCTCACTAATGTCAATGGGAGAGAAGAGCACTCAACACCTTATAGGAATATTTCATTAGCTCGCATTTCCTTCATCCAGTCCATCTTTGCATTAGGTAATGCATGTCAGCCTACAGCTGAATGTAAGGGAAATGGGTTATTTTATATGTTGAATGGAGAAGGGAAAAGCTTTTATTTTAACAATTGTATGAGTTTGCCAACACGTTTACTCCCCCTTTGATAATGTTCTGGCCTGGATCCCATTGACTTCCATGAATGCAAGATCAGGACCTCAAGATGTGTCCAGACGTAAGGGCCAGCTTATGATACCTTAACTCACATTGAACAGTACTTTACTTTACTTGACAAGTAGTTCTATTGGCTTCAGTGGAGTTACTCAATGTGGATATGGGTGTCAGAATCTGGCCCTTGATACTTCCGCATCTTGGCAGTGGGATATAGTGTTATCTTGTAAAAGCCCAGGGATTTTAATTTTAAAGCAAACAGTTTTGTCCATCCCAGTTAGAATTGTCCATTCGGCATCAAGAATGTGTTAGCACACAATTTCGTTGATCTGCCAGTTCACAACAAGACAAAGCCTTGTTTGCCAAGATGCATTAGGTTAACAATAACAGTGACCCAGAGAAACCTGATGCCTTCATCAAAGCATTTAAAAGAAAAGCACGCATCAAGCATTGATTTTAAACTTGATCACCTGGTGTAAAAGGCAATTTATGCATGATGGATACTGGGTTTCAGACCAATTCTGTAAAGACAGAGCCTTATATTTCTTCCTGTCCTGGATAATGAAGAGTCCAATCCAGCCTATTAAGGGCCTCAACCTGAGAACCGCTCACATGAGCTCCCCTTTTTAGGGCAAACACAGCAAACCACATCTACGGAGAGAAGGAAGGCCAAATGATTGGCTGGACCAACTGAGAAGCTGGCAGGAAAATATCCATTTGGATGGACTTATGCAGTGCCTTAACCAAAAAGCAAATTATTTGGGATATATATATATATAAATAACAACATACAGGGCCCTGGTTATTAGACTCAATTTCTAGAGCAGCAAATGGATGCTTGGAGACGTTAGGTTACCTATCTATTGTCACCCAGCAAATCAGTGGCCGAGGTGGGAATAGAACCCAGCACTTCTGGTGCCCGGTCCCTTAGACTAAGCACTAGAGAGTACCTGGTTGTGAGCAAGGATTGTGGCCATCTCCTAGGTTTTCAGATGGCTGTGTTCAAAGCAAAACATGCAGCTGGGCGAATAATATTGATCAGACATGTGTTAAGCCGTTTGTGACTGATGCAAAGTGCCATCAAGACTGATAGGAAAACAAGCTGTCAGCCCAGGACGGATGGGGCAATTCTTTGGATCATTTTTAAAAAGATGTCAGGGGCTTATTGAATTTCTCTTGGTGTCCTCAAGCGTTAGTGCTGCTATGTTGAGAATCATCTCAGTGATGAATTGGATGTGGACTGACGCAGAATTTCAGCAGACGCAGAGAAGACCATGGCACCAGCGAGGATCAATTTGGATGACAAGTGCTTGGCATTTTATGAATGAGGGCCGTGCAGTTGAAAGGAAAAAAGAAACTTTTAAAAATAAATCTCTTCATCAAAAAAATACGTGCAGGTGAATTGCAAAACAAATGCTTTGCCTTTTCAAATGTTTCTGACGTGCATTTTGGGGGGCGGGGGGAACCCTCATTGTTTCCTGCTAGTTTTATTTACACTGGAAATACCAGGTCCTCACTTTTCTCTGAGGAAACCCACCTGGGATGAGGGGTGGAGGAGTTGTACCGGTGGCTTAGAGCATTATGGGCCTGATGCCATGCCCACTGCTATGACTGGGGCTTTCCCCATTGAATTGAACACGCTTTGGATCCTGGCTCAGGTGACAGCACTTTCCAGGTCCTCCCAAGGTTTGCCAAGGTCCTTCACTTTCCAGTTTTGAGGCCATCTTTTCATACCCGAAAGGGCAAGGATGAAGTTTTTGCTCTGATGTTGCACTTTACCTTTGAGACTTAAAAGATTTTTAGAATAAGTGTTCTTCAGGTGGTTATAGACGGGACAAAAAATGCAGGATAACCTGTTTCAGTTGAATACAGTAGCATCTGTGTGTTTATATAAAGGTGTAGTAAGGAGGAGAGTGTCAGACGCCCCTCATGAAAACACCAGTCCCAAATACTGGCTTTCTTTTATTCTGTATCCATTACAAAGAAACAGAGCCTATTCCAGGGTGAAATAATTGCAGAAATGTTTCCTTAAATAGAAACAGCCTCTTAACCGTCTCAGATACAAAATAGGATGTAAAAATGCAAAGACCAATTTTCAAACACCATCGGCACACAACAGCTCCCATTTAGGCATCTTGATAAGTGGTCAGATTTCCAAATGTGCAGAGCTCTGGGGCCAGAAGCTCTTGGAAATCTGCCCCTAGCTGAGAGTGCTGAGCACTTCTGAAATGTTTGCCAGCCTGACCTATCTAGTTCATCTAAGTTTTCCAAAGTAATTAGTGATTTTTGGGTACCTCAGTTTTTTGGGGGTGGGACAATTGGAGACACCTTAAAGGGCCTGGTTTTCAGAGTGGATTCATAGACTCTAGGACTGGAAGGGACCTCGAGAGGTCATCGAGTCCAGTCCCCTGCCCTCATGGCAGGATGCTCAGCTATTTTGAGTTGTCTCAAGTTGGCCATCCCAAAATTGAGGCAACTAACAACCACTAATCACTTTTGAAAATGTAGATCATATTGTAAAGCCCAGTGAATGGTTCATAGTTAATATCCTTACAAACCACCTCTTTTTCCTCCCCAACCCCCCCTCCCACTCTGGGATGTGGTGCTCCTTTAATCGGTTTTCCAGGTTAGACATTGTGTCTGCTTTACTCTGTGAATGAGGTGCCGTTTGCTTGCATCCTTGACTAGTTAAGCTTGACAAGGAAAAAACAAAAATGAAGCTGACCTATTTTTTCCTAGCCAAAAACAGCAGCAACTGATAAAATCCCAAATATGTGAATCTGACTGGGAATAAGAGACTGAGATGGGAAAAGCAGATGGACTGCATTTTGCACTGATGCATCGACTGATATCCCAGGTTGTGACACTTATGTGGGGTACAACACATACTGGATATACAGAAGCAGTTTTTGCTGTCCCTTATGTGCATTGTAGGGGAATTAGCTGAAGTGGTTTGACTCAAAGGATTTTCTTGAAACCCAGGTCATAACAGCCATTGAGAATGTGCTGCATGGGAGGCCAAGTCCTGCCATAATGTTGTTCTGACAGGAAGACTCCAGGGCAATCTGCTCTGCCTGTTGTTAGGAGAGGGACAGGAACCGTGGCTCTGCAGGCACTGTGCAATTATGGGCCTGATCCAAAGCCCACTGTATTCAGTGGAAGTGGTTTTTTTCATTGTCTCCAATGGGGTTTGGGTCAGGCCAGCTGTGAGCAGAACACAGGTGCAGTGAACAACGGTTGTTTTGTTCTCACCGGACCTGAGTGATGTATTCGTGGTGGTCCATAGCCAATCCGACACTCAGGTGAATGCAAAAATGTCCTGCAGTTCTTAATGATTGCGGATTCCACTACAAATGAAAACTCCCTAGCTCTCCTTTACCACACTTCCTGCACAAGGCATGCCATACATAGGTGACAGATTCTTTACTTACACTGGGAATAAGTGGTTCCGGTCCCACTGACGCTGAACCTGTTGAGATGGAGTCTGTGAGTGACCACGTTCTTCTGTGGCTGGAAGAGGATGATGTGCACTTTGGGCGCGAACAAACAGCCGAGCACAACAAAGCCACTCAGACTGACAGAGATGCACATGGTCGTGGTCTGCACCTAGGAGAGAGTTATTGAAAAGTCAGTGCTTAGCTGTTAAATGCCGGGCAGCGAGGCAGCATGTACCACAAGCCAGACTGCGACCAAGGTAGTCGCCATGGGAGCTACTTACTGCTGGTAATTTGTTTTTAATTTCTATAGATTCCGTGGTACCAAATTCACAGCTGTCTCTTCAGAAGGTCTAGAAATGAGTGTGGCTTCAGAAAGTACTAATGATATGACTCTGAAACCCCTCTAAAAACCCCAGCTCTGTATCAATGCCTTCTGCAGTTTAGGGTATCAGACAGCACACCCCAGCATTCATGGCACAGTTTGTTACTGCATACTGTAATGCAAATTGTTTATGTATTTCAGCATGCTAAACTCTGAGCCGAATAACACTGAGAGGCAGAAATGCAAAATTCCAGAACAGACATAATACAGCAGTAGGAGGAAACATATCTCAGTCTTGCATCAGCAGGGGTCTAGCCTGGACGATCCATTGACTTGTTCCACCTCTAACTCCCACGACCCTGTGATTCCCAGTGATTTACCTAAGGCCTAGATGGTACCCTGCTGATCTCCACATAAGGGGCTGCTGGCTTCAGTGTATGACAGCTAGCCTGGGCACAAGAAGGTTAGTCAGATGCTCTGCAACACTGCATTCCTGCTGCATTCCTGGACAAAGCAGAGCGCTTTCCGTAAAGCCTGGGATCTATGTGTGGCAAGAGGCAGGCTGTGCGGGACCAGATTATGTCCTAAGAGATGGCTGTGCTATGCAGCGAATCCACTTGAAAGTTAATTCAGCCTAAGGCCTCAATCCTGCTAAGCGACAAGCATTCATGAAGAGGGCCACTGACTTCAGTGAGATTTTGGGCAAACATAAGGGCCTGCTCAAACATGTCCGTTTGTGAGACTGGGTATTAAAGTTACATTAATGTAGACACAATTTCTCCGTGCTGTGAAATCCCTTTGTGAGGGGTCAGAAGATTCTGGGGGCAGCAGCCAGTGGGCCAATGTTTGTCCTTACAGCTTCAGGGAGCCATTATCTAATCTTATCTATGTAACAACACTCATCATTGTGATAACTGGGTGCCAGTTCGCTGCCTCAGGTTCAGTTTCGTCTCTTTCCTTCAGAGCAGATTCCTCAATTAAAAGGTAGAATTACACTTTCTCAAACTCCATTACTTAATCTGGATTATTACACAAGTAGGGACAGTTCTGCCTTCAGTTACATCCATGCCAAACCTACAGATTAACACTGCTATGGGGCTCAACTCTCAAAATAAACTTTGTAAGGGAAAAACTAGAGCAGGGGATGGCCTTTGTCATTATATGCAGTGTTGTTTTTGCCATGTTGGTCCCAGGACATTAGAGAGAAAAGGTGGGGGAGGTGATATCTTTTATTGAACCAACTTCTGTTGGTGAAAGAAACAAGTTTAGGAGTTTACACAGAACTCTTCTTCTGGTCCTTTCTTTGGCTGCTTTATCTCAATCCTGCTAAGAGACCCTGACCAACAGCCATTTGTATCCATGCAGAGGATCTTTCTTTTTCTTTCTTTACTTATCATCATCTTCGTCATTATATGTATTCACAGAGCACCAAGCAGATAGTCAACGGTCAGTATAATTAATGTAATAACATAATAACCCTTTACAAAAGGAGCTTACTTCAAGCTTTGCTCAGTGCATAGTGCTCAGATGCCACATGGCGGGGGAACCACTTAGGAACCCGAATGGACACAGAAAAAACCCGAACACCCCGCCACATTTCCATTCATTCCTCTTTCTTTGCTTTCTACTGAGCCAAAGCCCACTAAAGTCAGTGGCAAGACTCCCATTGATTTTAATGCAGTTTAGATCAGACCTTAACCAAGAAACTACCACACACCTCCTTTCATGAGAGCACAGTAAGCTGAGTGGTAGGACAATTTAACATCTGACTGTGTTAGAACTTATCTAACCCCCAGACTTTTCCCTTCCGGCACATCTCTTGCAGTTGCATCCACTAAGGCTAGGCTAAGATGAATCTTCAGCTGAAAAAAATGAAATACATTAACTGCTCTAACTCATGCAAATTTGTGAGTGATTATTTAATAACATCAGGTCATACTGTGCCATCGATTCTGAAGTGGGACTACCCCCTGAAATCAAAGTGGAACTGTGTGTAAAAATCAATGGTGTGAAATAGCCCTTTCCCCTCTAACATAGGAAAGGACAGTTTGTTTCTTCCCATGGTATTTGTATTCATTAACTGGGTGAATTCTACATTTCATTTTATTTCTTTTTCAGTTTTTAAAATGTGCCCAAATCTCTGCCTACATTTCCCAGTAGCCTCCCATTTTTCACCCTTATTCATGCATCCTAAACCAGTTTCAAATATAATATTAAAAGCTCAATCCAGTCACCATTCACTTATTCATTGTTGTTATTATGTCTCCTTGGTTGTTTTTTGTACTAACTTCCCAATAATAGCTCCTGAGAATGACCCCACCAGCGTTGTTTTACAGGAGAATGAGATGAATAGATTACCGTTCGATTATAGATAAGAAAAGCATCCCTTATTATGTATAAAATTTTAGTCCATTTAGTAGGATCAGTGACTGGAATTTAAGTGAGATTAACAGTGTTAAGATACCCAGAGTGGGAGCTGCCAAAGCACCCACATTAGAGTTCCATTCACTTAAGTCCCTTCCTGAATTTAAGTCAATGAGACTTGTGCTCCTGACTAACTTTAGGTGCTTTTGGAAATCCCACTGCCAAAACCGAGTTAAATTCAATGGAGGTTTTGCACCCACATCCCCAGGGTTCCTTTCAAATCCCAGCAATCGATAATAGAGTTGGAAAATATCACTTGAATCATCTAGTCCTACAAGCACATTGTAGGACTACTCTCTCTAGCATACCCACTAATGTCTCATTTTATCTGTCCCCACCCATTAAACACTTTGTGTCTACCTCACTACCCAATTGCTTTTAGTGTTAAGAACTTTTCCCCAATGCCTATCTTTCCCTTCATTAGCTGCATGCCATTTCTCCTTGCCCTAACTTCTTGTGAGACTAAATAATCCCTTTCTTGTTACCTTGAAGTTATTTATAGACTGTAATCATGTCTCCCTGGGTCTTCTCTTGTCTAAACTAGACACATTTAGCTCTCTTAGTTTCACTCTGTGTGACTTTTGTTATCCATCTTTGTATTGTCTCTAGTCTTTCTATATCTTTCCTAGGCTAAGGAGACCGGAACTACACATAATATTCTTGGTCTGGCCCCACCAAGGTTAAGTAGAGTGCAGCCAGTTGAACATTTTTGACTACACTTCCTGTTGAAAAATGCTGTTTTGTCAAAAACAAAATGTTTTGCAGAAACATGTTGATTTTGACGGCAAGGTTATACAGGTGCAGGAGGGAATCTCTGGCGATAGATAAAAGACCCAACCCCAGAATAGCTAATAGCCCAGTGGCTAGGGTACTCGCATAGGATTATGGGAGACCCAGATTTAAGCCTCTGATTTGGAATAGGGACTTGAACTGGGGTCATCCACATTCCTGATGATTGCTCTAACCACCAGGCTATTGGCTTTTCTGGGGTTGGTCTGTCTCTCTCGCTCTCTCAGGAAAAAATTCAAAAGGTCTCATTTCATTCCACATTGGAATGAAACCAAGTTTTGAAATGAAACAATTGTTCCCTGGCCAGCCCTAATGTCGAGTGATGCTATTAACTCCTCTGTTATTTCTCAGACAATGTTATCTCCCTGACATATACCGCCGGTTAGATCTGGACAAAAATTTTCAGTCAAATAGCTTGTTTGCCAAAAAACGCAGTTTCAGGGCAATCAAAATTATGAGTGAATGCACGTCGAATCTGGCAAATAGTTTTGGCTGAATAAATGTGAAAAAGTTCAAATTAACCATTTCAACTATTTTTGAAACAAAATGTTTCGACTTTTCATTTCCAGTGACATTTTGCTTAGAACTGTTGCTAGATTTGTTTAAAAAAAAAAAACACTTAAAGGATAACAAATACCTGAAAATATAACAATCATTTAGAGTCCAACAAAATGTTTTGTTTAACCTGAAATTCTTTTTCTGGATTTTTCGGATCAGCCACCGAATAAAATAAATAAATGAACATTTGTTCAACTCTACTGCTAATGACAGTCTTGTCTTTTAGTTAAGAACATAAGAACGGCCATGTTGGGTCAGACCAAAGGTTCTTCTAGCCCAGTATCCTGTCTTCTGACAGTGGCCAATGCCAGGTGCTTCAGAGAGAATGAACAGAACAGGTAATCATCAAGTGATCCATCTCCTGTTGCCCATTTCCAGATTCTGCAAACAGAGACTAGGGACACCATCCCTGCCTATCCTGGCTATTAGCCGTTGATGGACCTATCCTCCATGAATGTATCTAGTTCTTTTTTGAACCCTGTTTTATAGTCTTGACCTTCACAATATCCTCTGGCAAAGTTAATCTTATAAAATTGACAGAAAGGTGAATGAATACAGTGAAACTTGGTGTGAGGACCATCTATCACAGCTACCTCCCTCATCTGAAGAAGTGGATTTTTTACCCAAGAAAGCTTATGCCCAAATACATTTGTTAGTCTTTAAGGTGCCACCAGACTCCTCGTTGCTTTTGTGGATATGGACTAACATGGCTACCCCTCTGATACTCCCTCATTTTAGTAATCCTGAGGTTTCCTCTACAATTTGGTTCAGATTTTAGTTAAAGTTCACTTCTATTAGATAACTGTTTTCTGAACCCTTGGTCTGAGCTATTGTAACTGTGGCTATCAATAGTAATATACCAGTGCATGAATATTTTACCCATGTGCTTCTGCCTCCATCAGCCAGATCTACTGTTTAGTGTAAAAACATTCTCTCAACAACCATAGTTCAAAGCAAGTCCATCATCTGCTTAGAAGTAAAGTAACATTTTCATATAAAGCAATAGCTGATGTGTCTCATGCTTAGCAGGGCATTAACAATGAAAAGGGAATGTTTGCTGGGGCACTGGATAGCACAAAAGTGAAAGACGCTTTTAGGAAATGCCAGGTTCCTGCTAAGGTGATGCACACAATTTATAGGAACAAATGTCCAAAGACTTACTCTGTAGTCACTAGATGTCACATAAAATATGGGGAGGAAGGCCAGCCAAATGATGCACGTTGTGTACATTGTGAAACCGATAAACTTGGCTTCGTTGAAGTTCTCTGGGCACTTCCTTGTTTTGAAAGCATATACAGTGCATAAGACTACAAGGATTACATCGTATGTTAAGGAGATTAACATACTGGAATCTTTGACATTGCATTTCAATATGACAGTCTCCCTTTTCTCAGGAAGAGTATACCGTCTGGTGCCCGGAGACTCTACTATGAGCCACACAGACACCACCACGATCTGTACCAAGATGAGGCTCAGGCAGATGAAGACCTGAGAGCTGGGGCTGATGAATTTAGGCCGTTGAGCACCATTCTTCACACCGTTAAATATTCTGGCTATGCAGTTTGTCTTTGTCAGGAGGGCAGCATAGCAAACTGAAAAAGAACTTCCCAGCCCCAAACGGCGTAAGGTGCAGATGGCCGGAGAAGGCTTGGCTATGAAGAAGAAGGTCATGCTGTAAGACAGGAAGACCCCGAAGAGTAATATGTAACACAGTTCACGGCCAGAAGCTTTGACCAGGGGAGTGTTGTTGTGCTTGATAAAGACTGTCACGACCATGAAGGTACAAATAAAACCCAGACATGCAATGGTAACAGGGCCTATTGCCCAGGCATCTTCCCACTTGACATAGTCTTCTGGTAGGTCATAGCAGCCAGTTAGGTCAGCAGTGGGCCACTGCCCAGACCCGCAATCTGCACAGGTAAATTCATCAGCCAAGTATTCAAAGGGCTCACAGGCAATGCAGATCCAACAGCAGACGTCTCCGGGTTGCATGTTCTTCATTTCATTAGGAGCACAGGGGTCACTACACTGGGAAGTGGGGACAGAGCTTCTGGACCAGTGAATGGAGTCTACGTCCAGTGACAAGATTTCTGCCCAGTGACCGACCTTCAGGTAGGAATATCTGCCTCCGGCATACTGGAAATTGAACACGTTGTATCGGCCTAGCCCATCTCCATAGGTGTCAAATTTGACCACGCTGTCCGCAGCATTGGGAGGGTTAAATGGAGCTGTCAAAAACAGAAAGAGAGGAAATGAACAGTGCAACTCTAAGCATTTTTCTTTCCTTTGGCAGGCATATCTATCTAGCAAGACACTGTCAGTTTTTTAAGACCATCTAGAGCGAGTGAGGTATTTTGATCCCAAACATCAATTATGAAATTTTCTTATTGGTAGAAGCACCTGTTCAAGGAGCAGCTGTGTTATGAATGACCAAAAGATCAAGGTCAGGTCTGAGACTTTCCTGCAAATCTAAAGGAAGCATTGCTTTTCCAAGTTGGTCTTGCTGTGGAGGTCACCTATGAAAAGATTTCTCTGTTACAAAGTGGCATCCCATGCTAAAGCTATGCACATGGGCCACATTTCAAAATGATACATGTCCCACAGTATATGGAATGCACTGCAGAGCACTTCGTACGAGAGAAATCCTTTCAAGGGTCTCCTCCTTTACTAACATCTCCATTTCCCACTGTTTTGGTTTCAAAATATTTCATTCTACAGACTGTCAAGAACATCTTTGCAGATCATTGGTAGCATGTGGACCAAGAATCACTAGACTAGAAGCAGTTCACCTCTGACCACTCTTTCAAATGCACATTCTAAATATATACAGAGTCAACCTGGAACCCTCCCTACACTGTTAAGAATGGGAAAATGTAGCATTTATCATTTGTAAGGCTCCTTCCCCCGGATTTACAAAGACTTTTTGACCTAAGAGCTAGATATTAATGAGCTCTATAAAGGCTCTATCCAAATGTACAATGGCTCAAATCCTCAGCTGGTATAAAACTGGCATAGCTCTGTTGGAGCCAGTGGAGCTATGACAGTTTACACTGGCTGACGATCTGGTTCAATACTTTTTTTGAAGTTTGCTAGGCTCCTATTAACTTACAAGAATGAACTCATTTGACAAAGCTCATATTTAACTTCTTTTCACTGAATATGCCATTCTTTGGATGGACAGACTAGAGATTGTATCCTGCTACTTCCCTGTTTAAAAATATGCATTTCACTGATCTACATATTTTCTGAATTTTTCCTCTTGGACCCAGTTGAATCAAAAAATACATTGAATGTGGACAGCAACTGCTTGGATATCACACATTCTACATCCTCCGTTGTTCCTGGTGCAAATGTCTCAGAGGTAAGTCATGCTCATAGCTGGTTTTTCCCAAGACGGGTTTCTAGTAACCTTAGCGATAAAGCATAATAGCCTCCACCTTTATCCCCTATTCAATTGCATGCTGATCCTTTCCCTCCCACCACAAGGGTATTGTCCCACGTTCGTTGCATGGAGATGCAAGAGGAGAGTTCCCTTGTAGCCTGTGACTATAAAAAGACCATCAAATAGCATGAGAAATTTAGCAGCTCTGTAGAACCTGGAAAGGAAGTTGCTAGACTAATGCATGTTATTTTAAATCTTTCATATGCTTGGAATGGTTATAATGTCAGGAGAGAGGGGGAAGAAGGGGAAGGGAACATTCTCCAACCCATTCAAACCCCTCTGATATCCCCATTGTATCAAAACCTTCGCATTGTCTCTTGTCGTTCAGGAAAGGGGATCATTTTTGGCAAGAGCTCAGTGTTATTCAATGGAATTCACCCTGCAGGATAGAAGGCATTTTAAAGGATCCTCTCGGGAAGAAGCAGTTTGGATCTTGACAGTGTAAAATGAAGCCAAAGAGAGGATTTATTTGGAACGATCTGATTGAGAGGATGATATTGAATAATTATAAATTCCATAACAATTTCCTGCCATGCCTTTATATCCTATTATTATTGCATCCTAAACAGTTAGGAATCCATCATACTTTGCTTGACTCTATTGATTTTGTTACAGCTCTTTGTTAAGCTGCCCGGCATGCGCGGCTGTGGTTCTATGCCGCGCTTGGGGAATGGATAAAAACTCATGAACTGGAACTGTGACCTTCTGGGGGGAATCAATATTGTAGCACTTCAGACTGTGAAAGCTCTGGAGCGTTTTGGCTTTTCCCACAAGCTGCGTTTCACAAAGGGAATGAAGAATTATTAAAAATGTAAGAGGAAATGGCAGTTACCATGTGATTTATTGTACCTCTCTCACTGCAGCACAAAAGGTGGACAGCATCAGTGACAGGAAGTGAAAGTGTATTTACTGCTGGTGGGCAATAAAAGATTTTTCTGCTGGTGTGTCTGGTTATGGAAGTGGTTCCACTACCCTTGTTAGAATAAATCTCCCCTTCTCTTCCTTTCCCCCATATCTTACATTGCCGTTGGTTAATAGCTTTAATTCTGTCAAACTCTTATTTACATAAGCAAAGCCCTTTAGTTAAGGATGTAATTTCCCCCCTCCAGCTTACAATCCATTTCCTTTGGATGTCTTGGGGTGGATGGATTGTATTTTTTAAAAGCATTCACGGCCAAATTCTGTCTCCCTTATGTGACGGCTGCCTCTGGGCTGACACCATGGGCACTGAAGAGACACCTCCAGAGCTTAAAGCATGAGCTAAAGCTTTGTGGCTGTGGGGTGGCACTGAGGGGCAGGGGGGAACTTTCAAACACACAGATCTATCTAATATCTAAGTCCGCAGCTCCTCCCATTGTTTTCACTAAGACAGACGGTGACATTAGGCAAAGCCCTGAGCAAAGAAGTGGTGCATAAACTGCACCTACCTAGGAGCAGTCCTGGAAGGCGCTGACACACAGGTACCCTCTTCCCTTACTTGCACTGAGGAGGGGTAGGGAGATAGTAATTAGGGCTACCATATGTCCGGATTTCCCCAGACATGTCCGGCTTTTCGGTCTATAAATAGCCGTCCGGGGGGGATTTTTAAAAATCTAATGTCCGGGATTTCCCCCCCGGTCGGCTATTTATAGACAGAAAAGCAGCAGCCAAGCGCTTTGGCTGGGCACCCAAAGCCCCTTCCCAGCTCCCCCCATCCCCTGCAGCCTTACCACGCTGTCCGGCCCCGCAGCTGTCTTCCCCCCTCCTCCCCTCCCCTGAACGCTCCGCCCACCTGCTCCTCCCCCTCCCCTGCTTCCTGCGAATCAGATCTTCGCGGGAAGTCTGAAAAGAAGCAGGGGCAGGTGGGAGGCAGCAGCAGGTAAGCTGGGGCGGGGGGGGGGCGCGAGGAGGAGCGCTCCGGGGAGGCGCGGCCCTGGCCGAGCAGCTCCCTCTGGCCCGGGCCGAGCAGTGCCCGGCGGCCCCAGCGGCTCCGGCCTAACTTGGGTCCCAGCAGCTCCGGCCCTGGTTCCGGCCCAGGGCGGCGGTCCCGGTTCCGGCCGAGCGTGCCAGCCCGGCGCTGGCCAAGCACCCCCAGCCTGGCGCGGCTCGAGTCCCAGCAGCACGATCCCTGGTTCTGGCTGAGCACGCCAGCCGAGCATCTCCGGCCCGGCCCCAAGCCCCGCAACCCCAGCTGGAGCGCAGCCCGATTCCTGGGCTCTTTAAAGCCGGCCCTGGGCAGGGGACGGGGGAGGGGGAGG